AGTAATATGCAAGAAAAAAAAACATTACAACTAATTTTAAATAAAAATATAATAATTTTAAAAATATTTAGTGTAGGTTTCTTTAAAAAAATCATTAGAGATTCTTCGTTTTTTTTTGTTTAAATTTACATGCTATGTATTGGGTTAATATTTAGTATTTTTCAAGGCATTGCTACGCACTCCACATTTTAGCAGCATTGCGTCTGCCATTCTGTATTCTTTAGAGTTTTTGTTTATTAGTTACTACTTGCTTTGTTTATTTTGATTTTATAATCTACTTGAATTAAGCTAGTTTTCATAACGATCATTGCTTAGTTAGTTGGTGGATTCACTCAGGTTCTTACATATGGCAATGCGTTTAAGTAACTGCTTAAATGTACAGATTTTAATAAAAAATGCAACTGATTGCGTGATTTTTTTAATAAGTTTTTTTTTCAATTCCAAAAATCTACAAACAAGTTGTAAATTTGAATTTTTTTACGTTTCACTTCCTTTTAGATATACAGCCATGTTCACACGAGCAGGCAAATTCCGCCAAAAATGACTACCGTCATAACCGCTTTGCCTAAAAGTATGCCGTGAAAGCTAGCTTGTAAGTGCGTACAAATTACACAAACAAGAGTAATGTTTTCATTACTAAATTCAAATGAAATTTTTGTGGTATGTATATTTTTTGACATCCCAACTATGAAAATAGTAATTTTGGCGGATTTCGCCATTACGTAGGAGTAGTACCGTTAATCTTGAAAAAAAAAAATAATTATTTGACATTATTAACCATTTGCCTGTCATCTCACCTTTTCGCATCCTCTTGAATGATTTTAGCGTATAATTGTGTTTACGATTTTTAAAAATATATACATGCATATAAAGACTTTTAATTTATATATCTTTAAAATATATTCTTTTTCGATTTGCTTACTTAATACTCGTACATATTTAGGTTTAAGTAAAAATTAAATTATTTTTCCTATTTATGTTTGCTTTTGGGTAGTGAATCTCCATAGTTATTTATATGCAATATGAATACCTATATTGTCTCTTATGAAAAAAATGCTGTAAAACATCTATGCATATATCATATGAAATATGATACATTACATATGTATACAAATTCATATACATATGTATATGATGGGAAAAAAATTTGAAATGCTTGCTGAGTTGAGGGTTTAAATAATTTCTTCTAAATGGAATTATCTCCCACACAAAAAGTAACTAAAATGTCTTACTAATCGTAATGGATAAGGCAAAGAGTTAATAAATTATTGAACTGTTTTATTTTAATCGAAAAATTTCGGGTACTTTTTGAACAGTTTGTGGTCAGGTATCTTTGAAGAGTCGAAATATGTATGCAGGAAAATCTTTAATGAATATGAAATCGGAATGAAAATTAAAATTACTACATATATTTGTTTACAAAGTTATACATTCGGCGGGCATATCTGCCCACATTTAGCTTCAAAAACTAGAAAACTCAGGGTACAAGAAGCGCAGGAAAAGGCGTAACATAACGCAAAACCAAACATTTAGTTCATTAAACATATATTTTGTTATTTTTAGAATAAAGTGCGAAATTAAATTTTTTTGAAAAAAAATAAATTTCAAAATGCATCTCAAAATGAGTAGATCTTAGCTAAGATGTTGGCCATAAAACCTTATTTGCTTTACATACACAGCAAACTCGAAATTCACATTCCTCCAACCATTCCTAATAGTTATGATTTTTAAGTTTAAAATAAATCATATTCAAATTCAAACATTAAAGTGGTTTTTAATCACTCTTAATGAGAAACACAATGTTTTTCTATAAAAATACGCGCCCTTTTTATTGAGAATTGCATGCGTCTCAGGCAGAGACAATCAACTCTATTCCCATGAAAACGACAAAACATAAGGCATGACTATGGTCTTAGCTACTGCGCCTAAAACTATGCCGCAAAAACTTGACTTGAATTGCTCTCATGATGCCAACTGTCATATTTTTTGTTGTGACCTACTGAGTACGTAATATTTAGTTTTAGGTGTAGTAGTTAAGAAATTTGCTATATATATATGTCATGAGTTCTGTGGACAGCGCCAAAGGGAGCAAAATATCGTTTCACCATCAAAAACCTGTATAAAAATATTTTCAGTATTTTTTAAACTTCCGCCTTGCTTTTTATCAATACACTATTGTGGTGTATATGCCTTAAACTATGCAACGAAAAGTTGTAGAAGGTTATATTTGCGTTTTGGAACTCTCTTAGCAAATACTACAACTATTTACTTGCAACAGCAGTAAACATAAGCTGTTTCTAATGAAAAATTACAGATTTCCTGCTGGGTTACACAAGGCGTTTAAAAATTTTAAGCCATACTGAGAGCTAAGATGTTTACTCATCAAAAAAGTCCTGGACTCCAACATTTGTTTACGGGTTTTTCTTCTTGAAAGTGTTTTAATTTTGGTCAAGGTGTTAATTAAAAAAGATTTTGACATTTTTTGCCAAAAAATGGATTTGCTCACCGAAGCTCTTGGCTCAACAACAATTTTGAAATATGAATGTTTTTACTCTCAACAAAATATGCGGTTTTGCATTATGTTGATACGCAATTTTCTATTTTAAACGACTATTTATATTTACACAAAATAGGCTCGAAAGGGTTAAATTTAAGTCATTCTGAAACTTAAATACTGCATAGGGATCATATTCATTTCTGGGTGATGCCTAAAAATATGCTGTGATGAATGTTTTTAAATGCCTTATTTCAGACAAAATCGATGCTCGCTTTCGCAAAA